GGGCTCTGCTCGCAGGGAACAGGGACAGGAGCAGAGGGAGCGGCCTCAGGCTGGGCCAGGGCAGGCCCAGCTGGGACAGCAGCAGCAATTTGCCCATGGAAAGGGAGCTCAGGCCTTGGCAGGGGCTGCCCAGGGAGCTTTGCAGTTCAGGGGTGGCCCTCTGTGGCCCTGGATGATCTCCAAGGCTTTTCCCACCCTGCTGAGCCTGGAATTCTGTAGGAGCACAGCAATTCCCTGTGAAAGCTGTGGGATGAACAGGGATCTGACCACTGCCAGGGACAGGTGAGAGGAGAATTCCTGAGGAGAATCACCAGATGGCTGAGCCCAGATGCTGCACAAATTAAAATAACTTTGGGATTCGAAGTGGCATCACAGGTGTGGGTTTCTGGAGGACAAACCTTTGGAGCATGTTCTGGGAGGTGACCTGTGTTTGCAGCATGGACAAACTGTTTATTGATTGATTTTTATTCCACTTCTTCTCCCTGCTGTTATTAACCAGAACATGTTCTCCAGCAGTCTGTGCTGTCACACAGTTGTGAAGGACATTTTTGTTATTCTTTACCAAGTGGCTGGAAATTAATTATGGCATGTTGGGAACTGCAGGAGTTGACAATACTAAAGCAAATTAGAATGGTGCTAAGGGCAGCTGTGAGTCAGTTAATTAACTTTGCTTTCCTCTTCCCATATTTGAGGCTCCCTGTGACCTTTTCTCTGTGCACTGAGACCTTCTCTACCCTCAGAATCAGGGTTTGATTTGCTGAGTTGGGCTCTTTCTCTGTGTTAAAAAGGCACTAAATATTATTATCTGTTAGATTGGAGACTGGAAATATTACAGTTTAATTGAGACTCCTTGACACAACTTATGGACCAAGTTCTGCCATAAACTTTGGGGTTGTGTGGTGATTTTCTTTTGTAGTTCTGAGTAAGGGAGGTTGTTTTGTGAATATAGCTCAATACAGCACCAACAGAGTTTATCATGGAATGGTTTGGGCTGGGATGGCTTTAAAACATTCTCCTTCCCTCTCCTGCCATGGGTGGGGCAAATTCCACTGGAAGGTTCTGTGTAAAACCTGAATTCTGTAAAAACCCCAGACTGGAACTTGTGAAAGTTGTCCAACATCTGGAGATGTTCCTGATTGATACTGAGAGTCTGCCTAGAGCAGGGGCTGGACAGAGTTAAAGGAATAAAGTAATAAAGAAATAAATAAGGAATTGATCCCTTACTAAAAGGCCTTTAAAGGATGCACAAGGCAGTACAATAGCCTGGCTGTCCAAGATGGACCCTGGGTCAGGAGTTTTCACACTTTTATAAGTTTTGCTCCATTTCCTTATTTGGATTAATTACAATTACAGCTCCAGGTGATGCAGTCCCACCCTCACAGTTTGTTCTCCTCAATTCACTGTTTTTATGCTTTTTGGGGCTGAAGCTGCAGTGGTGTCCTGGGTTCTGGGCTGGAGCAGGATTGTTCTGTGTGACTGAGCTGAGAGAACTGCTGACACTTTATGTGAGGTTCAGAGTCACACACTAAGGCAGTACAGAATCTGGAAAATATGAAAGCTCAGACTGAAGGCATCAATACTGACCTCACCCTTGGTTGTGTTTCAGGCACTCAGGAACTGCTGTTGATGGAAGAGTCCAGGACAGAG